TCCACGGGTGTAGATTGTTCTAGTTCTACGTGCCATGCCTTTTCTGGATATCTAATTTTTAGTTAATTAGCCTTGATAAATCCTTAAGTTTTTATTTTCTCCGCTGAGGCCAGGGACTGAACTCACAGTTCTTTGGGTCAAGTCACTTTTTGAATCAATCGACCAACGCTTTTATCCACTTGGAGACACTAGTGTGTGAATTTGGGGGACTTATAAACCTAATGTTTTAGTAATCCTTTTTACCAAAGCTCATATTACAAACTGAGATATACAAAAAAAAAATGCCGCGGCACGTGGAATTAGAAAGATGTACCCCCGTGGACCAAATAAATTCCAAATATCACCTGAGGAAAGCTGGGGCGTACGATGGCCGAAACGTCGTGAATATGGCAATAAAGATGAGGACAACAGCACGAACGATGTAAATAGTGTAAATAGTTGCAATACATCATCTCATAAATGTAGACAGGTGTTTTTCTTTTCTGCTTTTGATAATAATGTCTTTGGGATTTGATTGTCTTGTTCGATCTGTGTTGATAGAAAAGTCCCAGTCGATTGTAAAATCTGCTCGTTCGACTACAGATTCAGGATGATGTTCATGTCAGTTTACAGCTGTTTTTATCCCATCGTGATGATAGATATTCCACTGCAGACACTAACCTACCGCCATGACGAATTTTGTACTCATTGGGTGGGAATATTGAGTGTCCTGAGATAAGGTGAGCAGTAGTTTCAATCTGTTGGTTACAGAACCTGCATTTTGGGTCCTTACTTTTGTACAAGTTATTAGTAGTTACATGTAAACAGTCTCTAGTTTTGTGCAGCAAGAATAAACCATTCAGTCTCACCCTTAAGTCCTGAATTCCTCAGTCGCATGTGGCTTGCGAATTGATCTACATCAGCATTTTTGCTTTGGAGGAGGAACTGGCTATGGAGAGGCTTTTGTCACCAACATTCTTTAAATTGCTTTTCGTTCCGGCTTTTTCGTTATTTTCTTCAGTTTTCTTGCTGATCGCTTGACATTTGTATCTATTTCGACGCTATTTTCAAGATTTAATCAAAATTCTCTTGTATATTTATATGATTCTTTTTATACGAAATAAAGCTTTTTTTTACCTTTTGACGTTCAATAATAATAATAATTATTATTATTATTATTAAATTCCCACCCCGCGGGAATGAACAGAGTGACAGGAAAGTTTCAAAAGATTTATACTAAGATGTTTGATTAATTCATCTTAGTAACTAATCAACTAAAGGGAAAATTCCAAAATGAACAAGATAACCATCATATTAAGCACTTTTCAGTTTCATGCCTTCACGCTGACGGCGTTTCATTCGTTTTCCCGCGTTTATTACCAGTATAGGCGTTTTTTCATTACAAGACAAGCGACGTTTGTACAAAGACTTATACTTTTTTGTAGGTCTATATATTTATACTTGAATCTTTGAAGAAGTAGACATTTTGTTGAAAATATTGATGAATGTCGTCAAACATTATTTTTTTTCTTTTCTTTTCTTTTCTTAAACCGCATTCTTCTCTTAACTGCTGAAAATATTGGAAGAGTTCCGTCAATCACGTTTTTTATTATTATTATTAATATTATTATTATTATTATTATTGGGTGTTGTGTAAGAAATGGGATTTTCAGCTAGAAAAGGAATGGCAGATCTATAAACCTCTGAAAGTACTTGAGTGAGAAACCTTCAAGATTATTTGCGATATATATATATATATATATATATATATATATATATATGTGTGTGTGTGTGTGTGTGTGTGTGTGTGTGTGTGTACAGATAGAAAACCGGGGCACAAAGAAACCTGATATATTGTCGAAAGAGAAAATAAAAAAAAAAGGGATAATCATTGATCCATCGTATCATTTTTGATCCAAGGATATGACCAAAGGAAGAGGAGAAAATAACCATTTATGAACCACTAAAGTTTGAACTCTCTAGGCTTTGGAAGTTGGAGAATGACGCAATCAAACCAATTTCAATAATAATTCCATGAAAATGTTTTAGCCAGGATAGTTACGTATGCAAAATACTAACTTCCTGCCCTGGGGGAATGAACTGGATGACAGAGGCGTTCCATAAGATTTATACTAAAGCTGTTTCATTAATTCCTCTTAGTAACTAATCAACTAAAAGAAAATGATGAACAAGATCAACATCATATTAGGCACTTTTCAGTTTCCTGCCTTCACGCTGGCGGCGTTTCATTCTTTTTCACGCGTTTATTACCAGCACAGCCGTTTTTTCATTACACGACAAGCCATTTTTGTGCAAGGCTTATAACTTTTTGTAGATTTATACATTTTTATACTTGAAAATTATTTTAAATATAACTTGAAGACAGACATACTGTCAAAATATTGTTTAACATTCTCAAACACTGCATGTTTTTATTAAGTCACGTTTTCTCTTAAGTGTTACATCAGTCATTTTTTTGTTTATTATTATTATTATTATTATTATTATTATTCCCTTTGATTTCTGTTGTATACTCATTTCTTTTCGGGTCCCAACCAGAAACCCAAGGTCAGAAATGGCTTTAGAACATTTTCCACTCATCATTTTTGTAAAAAAAAAAAAAAAAATACGACCACACACACTTTACATAGATAAGGCTCTTCGTAATGTGTAAACTCTACTAGTAAGTACATTTTTTTGTATTTCTTTAAAGCATGGGCTACCAGGAATCCCTTCAGTGAGTCTATTAGAGCATTTTCGAATCAATCCGAGTGCTCCAACTACAACTGGAATAAATGATGTCCTTCTATTCTTGAAGATCTTCAAAGATACATTACACGGACTGCCATGTCAATAAGAAAGCACATTCAGTTTTTGCGGTCTTTGATCACGACGTCTAGTCGATTAGCATTGATTGTTCTGTCTGTGTGTATTGTAAAGTTCCATAAAATTGTCCCAGGCTATATTTCTGTAATCTTGTCTGAGTGATTTTTATACCCGTTTCTTGCAGTTTCCTTCTCGTAAAAGTTGCATATTTTCTAGTGCAGATGGCCTACTCTATTATACCGAGTTATATATTGTTTTTTAGTTGGTGCAACACTGTGCAACCTGATGCAAGATGGTCAATTGTTTTTACATATTTATCACAGAATCTGCACAATTGTTCAGTATGTGTGCTTAGTAATTTCTAGTTAGCAAGCATTTGTCCTTACGTTTCTTCTTTTAATACTGCACTACATAACCACCTTTGGGGGCGGGTATATTGCCATCTGTTTCTGCATTTGATGCATTGCATTTGTTTTTGTTTTCTTTTTTAAGTTCTTTACTGCTGCAGTAGATGTATTATGGCGTACTTTCACTTCTACATCCACTTTAAATTCCCTTTCGAATTTGTTGACTTCCTTTATTATTGAATAAAGTTTTATTTCTTCCATGTTCTTTGACACAGATCATCATCCAGTCTTCTATAGTTCATTATTTACATTATTCGGACTATTGTCCTCATCTTTGTCGCCATAATTATCACAACGTTTCGGCCTTTGTACGCTCCGGCCTTCTTCAGGTGGTTGGAATGTCGAACTTAACCCTTTATTTCGCTCACAGGGGTAGACTGTTTTAGTTCCACGTGCCATGTTTAATGGATGTCAGTTATCAGTTATCTCCTGTTAATTTCCTTCTGAAAGTTCTCCACTGCCTTAACCGCGTATTGAACTCACACTCTTTGGGTCCCTGTCACTGGATCTAACCAATGCCTTTATGTACTGTGCCATGTGTCTTCTATAGTTTCCAGGTATTTTTGAAGACCAATTGTTGTGGTGGTTTTGAAAGACAATTCTACTTGAATTAATCCTCTGCCTCCATCAGATCTGAGCACATACATTATTATTATTATTATTATTATTATTATTGTTGTTGTTGTTGTTGTTGTTGTTGTTTATTATTATTATTATTTCCAATGTTAAGTTTTGTGTTATATCTTAAGATTTCCAAAAATCACCAACTTAATATAATATTCTTCTTAAAGTTAATTCATCCCTGCACACGTACTTTACGCTTTCCTGAACTTGAGACCTTTGGCAATTGTTGTAACCTAGAGAAGGTTACTGAATAGAATAATCAAACGAAGGTTGGCAATGAACGATAATACTTAGGACAAGAACAACACATATAAGATTCGCCAGCGACGCGTAGAAGTAGCAGTCAACAAATAGAAGTGAGTCAAGTGAATTCCACTATGAATCTCCAACTCTAGCATATCTACCAACCGACCCACGCAGTCAGATGTGGCACAAGGCCGAATTTAAAGTGGGGTATCCGAGCCCGTAGGTTCGGCCAAAAATTCCCCATAGGCCCCGTATATAACGGAGATGGGTAGCTGCTTCTCGTGACGAGACTCTATCCTTCGACATAGCTTCGTCTGGAAATCCTCTCTGTCCGGAGACAGAGAGTTTGTCCAGCACAACTGGAGACGAATCTCCAACTCTAGACCAACATACAGTATTTACCACAGTATTTATGTGAATGAGGACATGCCTATTATCGCCCGTAGATACGCTACAACAGTAATTGAAGCTGTCAGTTATATGGTAGCTTTGAGAAGTGACGCTCATAGTAGAAACGTACAAGTTAAATTCAGTTAATGCCGGCCTGGAAAAGGAATTAACGAGGCTTTTGGTGACTACAAATTGCTCTCACGAGAAATCGAAATTTATGCCCCAGCAGTGGCAACTTTAAAGACAAGTGAGTTTTTGGGAGGTTGTGTTTTTTTTTAACTAAGAAAAAACATTGACTTGTTAGAAAAGAATAGAAATCAAGCCAGGGGCTGAATTTTTTTACTTTCACATTTTCTTATTTATTTTTTTACTATTCCAAGAATTGACCAGATTCCATCGACCGGTTCGATTCATTCCCAACGACGCAAACGAATTAGACGATAGTATATTCAACACCTGTGGCACATACTACACATGCTGATGTGCTCCAGTTTACTTCCTTGTCTGCAAGCAAAACCACACCTAGGCTTGCGTTTAAATACCGGTTCCCGTACGATCACCGAGGTTAAGCAACGTCGAGCCTTGTCTGTACCTAAATTGGTGACCGCTTGGGAATAACAGGTTCTGTAAGCTTGGATGTGTGGATAGTGTGACGGTGAATGGATCGATATTGTCAATCGGGAACCGATTTACAATTCACGTTGGATTCGTTATATACCCTTACGCGCAAATACACTTGGGAAAGGTATGAGTCAAACTCTACTCCCCCCCACCAGTTATGGATTAATTAGTAAGACTTGTATCACTAAAACAAGAAAAATTGCCTCCAAAATATTTAGATTTCGATATTAGATAAGATAACTTATAGGGGCTGATATGCCACTAAAAAAAAAAAAACAAAAAAAAAACACGAAACTGAAATTCACATTCACTTGTTTAAATATCTCCCAGTCACATGTTTTTAGGAGATAAATAAATATATATATTTTTTAAAAGATGGCAAGAGTACTGGGACAATTATCTACTAATAAACTCTATGCATTCCAGCCCAAGCTGAGAGTAATACATCTTTCGGTGGAAGTCGTAACGGTCCGCTTGCACATCGGCTATACAAGAATAGCACATTCTTTCCTACAAACTAAGAAAATTCAACCGTTAGCCAAGCTTCTACAACAGTATTATCCATTAAACATATTTTGACAGAGTGTCCAGCAATTTTACAATTCTAATAACATGATGGAGCTGTTCGAGAGGCTAAATGTGGATGATATACTATCATTTCTAAAAGTGGTCTGCCTCTACAAGAAAATATAAAACAGAAAAGAATAACAATAAAACAATTTTTTTATTATTATAATAATAATAATAATAATAATAATAATAAAATATCTACGAAGCCGGATTATTGATAAAAAAAACCTATTTGCAGAAATTAAACCGGATATGGAGAAAATAAATATTACCTACAATTCTTTATCGAACAAAAGAAGAATCCCCGCAATGTAATTGTCTCTCGACAGAAGCCATCTTTGCAAAAGTGTTAATGATACTTGATTTACAAAGTGATTTTGTTACAAAGAATACATTTTTTATTCATATATTTTTATATTTTTATAGAAAATATTCGTCCTCCGACTTATGAAAATTTCTCGGAAATTCAGGCTGGTAAATGTTGTTTAATACTGTTTATTATAAACAGAGCATTTAATTAAATATTTGTATCTATAAAAAGAACGTATAAAAAATGTCTTAAAATAATTGTCGGACTTTGTCCATAATGTGTGACGTCATTTATATATTAATTTTTTTGCATTAAATAACCCTTTGAGGTTGATATGCCATAAAACAAAACAAGCCAAACCAAACCAGTCACATGTGCGTTTTTCTTTAATTTTCTCATTCTCCTGTGATCTTCTCCATCTTTTATTTGTATTTAATCCCGATAGTATCAATGTTTCTGCCTTCAGTTACGACCAGTCTTACGAAACATTTCTTTCGGTATAGCTTTCCTATGTTGCTCATGTTTAAATATAAAATAACGGCTTGTTTCTCCCTTAGATCCTTTTTGACGTTTAAGTTTATTAACCCGCTCTACGAAATAAAAAAAGAGCTTACGCGGCCTTGTGGGCGATGAATTATTTTCCACCCTACAAAACCTCTCCTCCCGCTACTCCATCGCTATTTCAATGGCAAATGTTCAGTCGAGCTACATTTCATAGTTCCACCCCCTCCATACCACGTACGCTGGCACGAACCATCCTCATTCTCATTCCATTCGTATGAAGGTAGGAAGTAAGTCCCATTCGAACACCTTCTTCCCAAGAATTGCTGCTTTGGGCAACTGACTCCCGGTAGGATGTTTTCCCGATATTATATTTTATATATGTAATTTATTATTATTATTATTATTATTGAGAGTTATATTTGAAGCAGTTATAATAATTAACACTAGACTTAAAGAGATTAACACTTTAATCTAAGGTTAACCGTTACCTGTCCTATATAACCTCATAAACTGCACTTCTTACCTCCTCCTCCTCCTTCAACATCAGTAAACCTCTACCTAAAGTGGCTCTTGAGCTTTCTGTTGTGTGAACATTAGTAAAAAAAAAACTACCTCAGAATCTGAACTTAATTCTTCTTCTTCATGTGCCTCAGGACGTAGACGATCATGTCTCTCCACATTTTCCTGTCTTTTGTAGCGCTTAATAAATTTTGTCTTTTTGTTATTTCTCCTGGACCCTATTCCTCCACCCATTTAATCGTGCTCACTAAGTTATGCGTTGTTTTTCTCTCTCCCTGTTGCCTTTAATCTATCCTATGAGTATCAGATTTTCCAAGCCCTCTTTCCTCATTATGTGTTCTAAAAATTCTGTCTTTTCCTAATGTTAAGTATAAGTTTCCTTTTAGTTTCCAATTTTTCCCAAACCTCGTCGTTACTCATATGTTCGGCCTATGGTATTCTCAACATCTTCCTGTAGAGCTACATTTCTATTGCTTCATGTCTCTTCTTTGAGGAGATACTCCACCATTCACTGCCATATAGGAGGACTGATATTAGATGACAGGTCAATACTATTTCCTTTGTTTCTAACGAATTCTTGATGTTTCTTAATACTTTGTTTGGCTTTTGGAAGGCATCTTTCACTATCCTAATTAGCCTTCATCCTCTGTTAAAAAAAGCCCCAGATATTTAAATTGTATTTGCTTGATTTTGTCATCTCCAATTTGTAATGTGCATGTTGAGCTATCTCTTTTAATAACAACCGTACATTCTATTTTCTTGCATCTGATGTCCTTTTTTTCTTGCTTTTCAACACTATCTTCTGTGGAAGTTTTTGTAGTTTGATTTCTGCGTTTGCTATCAACACTGTGTATTCTGCATATCTTATTCAATCTTCTATTTTTGTCTGTTTCCATTCATGGTATTTCTTGTGGAGTAAATAGTACACCCCCCGGTGACTAAATGAACTAGTCCATAACTATAAGAGCTCCAGGTTAAAGATAAGACGATGTAGTTGTTTCGAGTCAGGCAATTCGCTGTCTGGCTTGCGATTAACAAAACCTCTGTCTTCGGACAGAGGGTGACTCGATCGAGGGTCTGTCTACGTATAGAGACTTAGCTGAGCAAAACAGACAGGAAAAGTGCAATTGTGGGGAATGGGTAAATTTTGGACCAGTTTCCCGACTGTTCGCGCTCGGCTTCCCGACGTGACCTTGTGTTGCATCCTGTCTAAGTGGGGAGGCCTGAGTAAATACCTAGCAGTTTGGAGTGAGCCTTCAGACTAATATAGGCGTCTCGGCAAGAGTGTGTTATAACAACAGCCATAGAATAGTGTCGTTATAATAGTGGCGACGAGGGTTTTGAAACTCAGGATTTATAACCATTGTGTCGAGGATCCAGAGCTCTTACGATTTATACCCGTTGTAGCAACGATTTTGAGAACGCATACGAGTTGTAACTGGAGTTACAAGAATTTCAACACGTTGGTTTAAGATAGATAGATAGATAGATAGATTCTTGTAAGCATGGAGAAAAATTTGGCTTCCATAGTTGAAATTCAAAAACAACAACACAAACCGCATCAGCAACAAAATCAACAGTTGCTAAAAGTACAAAAACAGCAACAGGAGCTCTTGGGTATAATTCTGAAGAAAACAATAAATTCTTCTACGTCTCTTAAGTCAAACACTGTCCATAAGCACCATATCAGAATTCATATACAATCCTGATGAGGAACTGACATTTTCCGTGTATTTTCGTAGATATGAACAAATATTCAGCCAGGATTGCAGCAGCTGGAAAATGAGGCAAAAATGAGATTGTTGTTGAGGAAAATAGCTTCGATAGAGCATGAAAAATACTGCAATTACATTTTAACAAGAAAACCAGGTGATATCAGGTTTGAAGACACGGTACACATTCTGAGGAAAATCTTTATTGACAAGAGTTCTCTGTTTAATTCACGTTGTTGAGGTGCTTGAATCTAACCAAAAAAGACGACGTTGTCACGTATGATGGTATCGTCATCAAAGAATCTGAAAGGGTTAGAATAAAAAAAATGACTCCAGATATGGTCAAAGGATTCATTTTCATGCAAGGTTTAACAGCTAAAAAGATGTTGAAATGCAAACAGAAGTTTTAACAAAAATTTTAAAACAAACAATAATATTACACTGCAAGAAATAGTGTATGATTGTCAGACAATGCTAAATCTGAAATACGATACTGAAGAAATTCAGAAAAAAAGAATGTGCATTGGTACAAACAAAGGACAAATGTACAGAATGGAGAATAAATTTCATATGTGATAAATTACATCTTGCAAATGACTGTCCATTTTAAAATGCAGAATGTTACAAATGTGCTAAAAAGCACATATAAAGTCATACTGCAAACCCAAACCAAGAAAAAATTCTCACAAAAAGAAATTATTACACAGCATTGCAACAGATGAAATGACCACAGAAAACAAAAGAAAATTTGTAAATTTGAAAATAAATAATGTGGGTGTGAAAATGCTATTGGACACTGGTAGTGATATTTCAATAATCAGTGAACCCACATGGAAGAAAATTGGAAAGGCTTTATTAAAAAGGATTTCAAAATTCTTGATTTCAATTCAATTCATTGTTTTGTGGGGAAAAATAATTTGCAAGGTCTTTTTTCGTAATAAGCATGTAAAAACTAAATCTTATGCATTAGAAAATGCTACGAATTTATTCGGAACGGACTGGATGGAAATATTTGAAATTTGGGATTTGGCAATAAATGTTTATTGTAAAAACGGGAGTAGACAAGTGACCAATTTAAAATGTCAGAGCGACAATCTTAAGGTAAAATTAAAAAATGTTTTCCAGGTGTTCTGTCGCATGAACTGAGTCGTTGTTCAAAATTCAATGCGGATTTTCACGTAAAAAAAGGTTCGACGCCAGTATTTAAGCCGAAACGTAGCGTACCATTCGCAGCATTAGAACAAATTAATGAAGAGTTGGACAGATTCGAAAGAATTGGTGTAATAGAAAAAATTAACCATTCGAAATGGGCTGCACCAGCGCTGTCTTCGAGTAGAGGGCGACTCAGTCGAGGCATTGTCTACGTATAGAAACTCGGCTGCGAAAAGCAAACAC